GGCCAAAGCCCGGTCACATTCGTCGTCCCATACAAACTTAGATTTCAAAGCTTGAAAGAAAGGGCGGCAGCGATCTGATGACCGGCTTATGAATCAGTTAAGCGCGGCGGCCATTCCGGCCAGATGCTGCACGTCCTTAGTTGAGCTGGGCTGCTTTAATTCTTGCACGGCTCAGATTTGTGTGAGGTCGGCCTCGATGCCTTGGTTTGTGACTTGGAAATCCAAAAGTTTTCCGGATCCCACGCCAAAGGCACGCTTAGATGCATTCAGGCGTAGCTTATGCTGTTTGAGAATGGGGAACATCTCGGCCAAGTCAGACAGGTGGTCTGCTTGATGCCAGCTTTTGACCACCATGTCATCAATATAAGCCTCCATTGTCCAGCCCAGCAGGGAAGCGAACATTTTGGTCACCATCGTTTGGAAAGTTGCCCGGCGTTCTTCAAACCAAAAGGCATGACTCGGTAGCAAAAATTCCCCTTGGAGTAGTGAAAGAAGTGATCTCACGGTCGGGGCCATGCATGGCAATATGATGATAACCGCGGTAGGCATCCAAGAAACTGAGCCTGTTATGTCTGGCTGTTAGATCCACCAGCTGGTCTATTCTGGACAGGAGAAAGCTGTCTTTAGGGCAAGCTCGGTTGACGGTCTTGTAATCGACGCAAACTCGCCACTTCCCATTCTTCTTGGGTACAACGACCGTGTTGGAAATCTACAGAGAGTAGTGCACTTCCTGAATAGCCCGTACTTCAAGCAAGTTCTTCACCTCCTCTACGACTACCTCGGCGTAATGCAGCGCCGATCTCCTTGCTCTCTAAATGACGGGACTTGCACTGGGGAAAACATTTAGGTGATGACAAATAAAGCTCGGATCAATGCCGGGCATGTCGTAGGGCGACCATGCGCAGACCTCGATATTTGCCATCAAGAATTCTACCATCTCGGTCCTTTCTTGGGCGGTAAGGCTTGATTCGAGCAAAAAGTACTTGCTCGGGCTTTCTGTGTCAATCCATACTTCTACCAACTCCTCAATAGCTTTGTCCTCAGCCTTGGCGCCCACGTCTTCAAGGACTCCCCAGTCTTCCAGTCCTTCAATCATTTGGACGAAGCCTTTGGCAGCTCGGCTCCCGTTCACTGCCGCGAAGCATTGCTTCGACATGACTTGACCGCCCCAAACTTTTCCAATTTCCCCCATAGCCAAGGGGAATCTCATAACCTGATGGTAGGTCGACGCTACGGCCTGCTTCGCATAAAGCCATCCCCTACTGAGTATCAAGTTGTACGTAGACGCACCTGCAGTACCTAGAACTCCACCTGCTTGACCACAGATCCTGCTTTGACTGGCAAAATTATTTTCCCTAAAGGCCACTCCAGTTGCGAATTGAAACCAACCAGTGGCGAAGTTGCCGGAGCCAAGTCTGTATCTCATAATTTGAGTTGTTTGAACGCGTCGTAGTATATGATCTCAACCGAGCTTCCCTGGTCAATCAAGATACGCTTGACATCGAACTCTTTGACGCGGAAGGTAACCACTAGGGCGTCGTTGTGCAGCGTTTGAATGCGATCTAGGTCCCTTGTGGAGAAACTGATCACATCTTTCTCCTCGGTCTTCCCCATTTTGATTGCGGGCTGGCCCGACAAAACTACCCTCATCTATTCCGCCTTCTTGATCATACCACGGAGCTCGCATACGCGCGCCGGCTCCACTATGCCGTGGATCACATTAACAACTCCTTGAGGGGGCGTCTCCAAGTTATCCGGTCCATGCGGATCAATCGGGCCAGGATGTGCGGCCTTAACACCCCCATCAATGTAAAGGTCCAAGTGCTCGACTGCGACTAACTCCTCCAAGTGTTGCTTCAGAGGCAAACAGTCCTCTGTCCGGTGTCCATGCTCCCGGTGAAATGTGCAGCGGTACCGCGGATTGAAGCCCTTTTGCGCATCGCCTAACTTAGCAGGAAACCGGACGTAATCCTCGTTACGGATTTCACTAAGTATGCGATAGATTGGAATCTTAAAAACTGTGGTGATGCTTGCCCGAGCTTTCAACCTTCTGTTTGCATCAGCTACATCATCGCGGGGGTATTCATCTCGATCATTCCGACGACCCCTTCTCCGATTTCAACGATTTGCCCCTCAGTCAGATTCCTCAGCGCGATCATTTGGACGGTTGGTCTCCTAGCCGACCGCGTGTACCTTGCCAGCCGACCTCTTATCTGTTGCTACTGGAGTTGTCTTCGCGGTGGATGCTGCCGCATTATTTTCTACTCGGATGTGCTTGTTGATGCGCTACATTAATTGGCCCATGGATGTCGGCTGGATCATGGTGAGCGAGTCCCGCAACCGATGTCTGACTGGGAGATCGCCCTTATATTGAATGATTGCCAGGTTGATCGGGCAATCCAAAATCTCATTGAAGGTTTCCCAATATCTGGAGTTGTATGCCTTGAGTGTGTCGCTCGGCGCCATTTTGACACTGAGAAGGTGGTCAACTTCTTTCAGTGTTTTGGTATTGGTTTTGAAACGCGTCACAAAGGCTTCCGCCAACTGCTGCCACCGTTCGATGCTTCCTTTCGGCAGCCTCTCACACTATTTCAAGCCCAGTTCACCCAAACTCGACAGGAAGATAAGGCACATAAGAGCGTCATTCGGCCTATGTCTGCCCATGACCTGTCGGAAGTGGCTTACATGCATGTATGGATCGGTCTTTCCGTCGTAAAGCGTAAACTTGGGCTAGTGAAAGCCCGCGAGGAGCAGTGTTGTTTTTATCTCCAAGAAGAAGGGAGTCGCGCTCAGCATCGCAAAATCTGTGTCTAGAAGGAGAGGCACAGCTGGGCAGGGTAGTGGCATTACGACCTCTTCACTGGCATGACCCCCATAAGATAGTCGCTGGAACGCCAGCACCCTCTGAGTCTCCTGCCGGCGAGCCCGCTCCTTCAAGACTGCCCGCAAGTCCTCTGAGCGAGCAGAATAGGAATACCTCAACGTCGTCGCCAGACGTGAGGGTTGATAGGTACTATCTTGCGCGCTAGACTTCTCTACAGGTGCGTCGGATTCTCCAACCCTGTAGCTTCTGGTGATAGAAAGGGAGGGAGTGTGTCACTGTCTCTGACTGCCTGAACGGCGTGGTTGGGTGCGCTCACTGTGGTCTCCTACTCCAGCAACACCCTTCCCACAGTTGGCGCCAATTGTACGGAGAGCAAATATTCGGTAATGTCCGTACTCCTTTCGTCCAAGCTCCTCGTCTGTCCGATCGACCTACGAACACAACGGTGGTGAGCTACCCGGCGGTGTGTGGCTGGAAAACCCTTCTGACGGTCAAGTTAGCACACACTCAGGGATAGAGAGAGAGAGTTGAGTGTTTTTTATTTATCTTACCAAAAAATGTTTTTTTTTTTTAGCATGGGGGGCGCAGATACGCTTATATACTTTCTGCGCCCAAATCTGCTCCTATTAGCCTGTTGACACGTGGTGCTACTCTCCCATCTGTCCGCACAAATCCTGTAATAACCACCTAACCAAACCGTCAGGCTAAATTAGCGGAGCCCGGCAGACCGGCAAAACCACTTCGGCCTTTCACGATCCCGCTGCGCAGCGTACCTGAGTGCTCCACTCGCCGAGCTCCAAAACGACATTCCGGCAAAGCCGAGTTCAAGATAGGTCGAGCCGGTAAACCGAAGGCCTTCCTGCCGTGCTAAACGCGTGAACCGTGGAATCCAAAATGGTAGGCAATCATCTCGGCCGAGCAACTCAAGTAGCTCGGTTTCTACATAGACAAGCCCAAGCTACCATGGCCCGAACATGTTCGGCCCCTCATTCTGCCCGGCCTTTACCATGGCCCATTCAGCTCATAAATCTCCCTCTCAGGGAATAAATAGACAATTTAACTATAGTTTAGGGTATAAAGTGTAATAAATCCTAAAATTTATTGTGTTACAAAAGTATATAAAAAATTTATGATTTACAAAGTCGCCTTTTTAGTTGGTTTTTTGGAGTTGAGACTTTTTTAACTTGAGACTAAAAAGTTCGTTTGCAATTTTTTTTGAATTTTTTGACTTTTGTAAGAGAAAAAATAAAATAATTATAATTTAGATGTGACATTTTTTATCTTATTGACTTATTTAGTCTATTTTATTTTTTGTGATTTTTAAGTCTCAACTGGGACAGAATAACCAAACGAAGCCAAACTTAAAAGGTACATTATATAAAAAAAAAATTATGATTTTTTTATTTATGAAATTTAAGAATATTTGTAGTATATGTAATGTCACATTGTGAGAAAATTGATGAATGATAAATTTATAATGTGTATCACTAAAGTAAAAGTTATGAATTATTATAAAAGTATCTATTGATTCCATCATTGTCAATTCTTTTCTTTTTCAAAAAGTTAGATTAGTTGATATCAATTATCTCAATTGATCGCCTCGCCTAATCATATGATCATTTTCAGTATCGATCTCGTTCATCATAGACAATTTTTCATATTTGGTAATAAGGGGAAATTTATTAAACAATAAAAAAAAATTCATATTTAGTAGCAAGGTAAAATTTATTAAACAATAAAAATTGTTACAGCTCACGAAAATATTTCATGAAAACGATCTGGAAGCTATGACCAAACAACCAACTAAACTACTAAAAAAGTTTAGAATTGATCAACAACTTCGAGATGATTTTCACAATTTTTTTTTTTTTATTTCTATACATTATTGTTAAATTTTTTATTTCTATACATTATTGTTAAACAAATAGAGTGCAGACACGTCTTGTGTCAACAATTCATCAGTTTATTAGTCAGTTATCTTGTTTATCAATAATTCAATTATAACATATCACATAATAAATAAAATAAGATAAAAATATAATTTATTAAAATGTTATTATCAACAATTCATCAGTTTATTAGTCAGTTATCTTGTTTATCAATAATTCAATTATAACATATCACATAATAAATAAAATAAGATAAAAATATAATTTATTAAAATGTTATTATCAAGTTTAACACTCCGCAAAGCCACATGGTCACATGCTTATCAAAAAGGTTACAAAACAGAGACAAATAAATTTGACACAACAATAAGAAAAATTAAATAGAGAAAAACAAAGTAGTGTTTGTCCTCATTTTATAATAGTAGACAGATAAATAGATAGATATAATATCATAAACAAAAAACCTTCATCGATCACTAAATTTTACTTTGTCCTCTTCTTCACCACATTGAACATCAACACACAATACTTACTACTCTTAATAGTGCAATAACAAGTTACAACTTAGTCTCAATCATTCTTGTTGTTCAAGAACATCTTCCCTGTCAACCCACAAGTTAAGACCTCGTTTGGTATCTTCCCAAGCCGTCGGACACCTTCAGCAAACACAACCCCCATACCCATATGCAAATGAGGTTCTATATGACAATGAAAAGCCCACACTCCTGGATTATTCGCCACAAACCTCAGAGCAGTCCATCCGAATGGAAACACCACCGCGGTGTTCCTGTAAGGCGGGTTTTTCAAATTAAAGCTTTTTTCATCATTCTCATTCGAAAACTTTCCCTCTCCGTATCCCAAAACCCAAAAATCATGGCCGTGTAAGTGCCACGGGTGGATTTCACTCGTGTTCACGGCCAATGCGTTGGCATTTTGAAGGATTATATCTACTGTGGTGTTGAAACTGAGCATGTAGACTCCACTCCCGTACGTTGAGTTTGGGTTTTGGGCTTGTTTCATGACATCATAGTTGCTTGGGAAGTTTGCCGGGGGGGTTTTGTGATCGAAAGCGTTGTTTAGATTGTATTTTATCGAACCCAAGTAAGGCGTGGCAGGTAGGACTAAAGAGATGTTGTTGATGGCCCATTTGGTGTAACCATCGATGTAGTTTTGGGTGTTGAGGAGGATGATACGGCGGTGATGGGTGGTCGGAGGTGGATTAGGGTTTCCCATTAGGGCTAGAACTTTTTTGGTGAATAATTTGCTGTGGGTGTAGTTGTTCCATAGAGGAGCGACTGGTGGCGGTGATGGTGGAGGTTTTGAGGCAGACGTTGTGTTGTGATAGTTAAGCATTGTTAGTGCTTGAGTGGTGTTGGGTTTTCGACCTCTTACACTTACTGAAACCCAGTAGTTGTTGGAAGGGTTTTGATCGGTAGTGAATAGAACAGAGTAGCTCTCACCGGAGTAAATGTCCATATCGTCCACCGCGAATGGTTGTAGGTAGTTTCCATCAGCTTCAACCAACACCATCTTGTGATTCTGTATAGAGACAAAAGAAAAGAAAAAATGTCAATCGCTCTTCGTTTTCTATGGTGTTTCTCATGGATAACTTCACACATTCAGTTGAAAAGAAAGAGTAGTTTTGTTATTGTTGAATTGAAATTATCTACATGAATGTTATGGCATTACATTTAGCTAGTGATCTAGCTCAGGATCTTAATTTTGTGCACCAATAAAAATGAATTCTTGTGATCTTCATATTATTTTTAAAAAATGGAAATATTAATTAATGACAGCTCACGTGGATGAAAACAGCTTCTTTGCCATGCACACTGCAGTTTGCCACCATGGCCCTACCTTGATAATTTGAATTATTCATTTCATAAAATTGATTGAATGGATTATTTATATTAAAAATCACATAAATCGAATGTAAAACTATTGATCAAATTGACGAGTTGATATTCAATTAATTTAATTTTTTATATGAATAATCTATTTGACGAGTTGTACAAAATAATTATTGAAATAAGCCTGAAATGGGCCTTAATGATCAAATTGCACGCTAGGTTCTAAATTTCTAATTATTGTAAGTAATTATAATTAATCAAGTCAGTAAAAATAAGACTGAAACTCGTAGTTGGAATCCAACTTCTTTTTTTTTTTTTTTGTTAAATTGAAAGAAATCCACCCTTTGAAAAGGGATATAAAGTTATACTTTTTTTTGAACGACAAAAGAAATTTTTATTAATGAGAGCATACAAAGTATGAGAAAAATATTAATAAAAAGAAATTTGGAATTAACACAAGTTCCAAGCGTCAGTTGGTGAGAAATGGATATAAAGTCATACTTCAAACTCTATAGTGACTAGTTGGTTGACCAATTACTAATCAAAATAATAATAACACGGTGATCGCCAACAAACCCCTGTTTAGAGAGTTGGAGGGGACCTTTTTATTTATTTTATTTTGAATCTGCAACTCACCTTTTTCTTTTCTTTTTTTGCAAACTGCTTGAATTTGTAGGTTACGTTACATTTAGCTCAAGGCCAGCTATATATATACACGATTTGCACACATGAGTTGTGTGTAATTTAAAAATAATAATAATATTATAAAAAAAATAACCAAAAAAAATGCACATATAATATATGTTGTTCAAGTGATAAGAGACCCTCAGTTTGAGACCGGTCCTCCTCTTTATATAATTTTTACAAAAAAAACTCCAAATCTATGAATATTTTGAGAAAATCCAAAATTTAAGACACCGAATATATGAGATACATTTGTGTCAATAGCACCACCAATTCTTCACTCTATAATAATATATTTATATATATATATATATATATGTATGATAGATATAGACAAATATACATAAACAAAATTAAATTTATTTAAAAAAAATTATTCAATATTTTTAAGACATCACGAAACACGGGTAATATACCAACCACCATCTACTTTTTTATTTTTTATTTTTAAATTTTTTTTTTTAACCTTAAAAAAAGGATGCTCTGAGATATCATCACTGTATCCGTGAACCTAAACCCCAAGATAACCGGTTGTCAGCTTGATTTAACCAAATCCATAGAAAAGGACCCACCACCGAGGCACCAAAAAAGTTCAATCATACGCCACAGACGAACCTAGAATTTAATTGGAGTACAGAACGAGGTCTCCGCAGAGAGCCACTAGAATTACCCAATATTTCAGTCAAACTTGAGTCACACTTGTGGAGAAAGATACCTTCTTCACTAGGCCACCACCCTAGTGGTAACCACCATCTACTTTGCTCTCTTTTTTTTCATCTTAAATAATAAAATCATGAATGTCAACTAGGGATTTCAATTTGAACCCGGCCCGACGGGGACCCGCCCCCCGACCCCGATTAGAATGGTTTTTTTCCGAAAAATACTCTCGACGGGCCGGGAATGGTATTCAAAAATGAATCCCTGATAATTTTCGAGCCCAGGATGGTGATACATTCCCCAGTCCCGGCCCCGGCCCCGACCCCGGCTCATCCCCGTTTTTTCGAACTAAAATTGCTATTATACCCCTTTATATATATATATATATAAACCAAATCCTCACACACAAACCTCACACTATCTCCTCTCTCTCTCTCTCTCTCCGTCATCGATTTTGACATCACTCACCGCCTCTTTCATCGCAACACTACCTCTATCCGTCCTCCGCTACAGGTCTGATGGATGATTTGGATTTCGATTTGACCTAGACGACGTCATACGGCTTGAGCCGGCCAGTGTGCCAATTGACGTTCTTCAAATCTTCATATCACCATCAATGGTGTGCTTTACATCAAGATCATCAATCCGATCATCAATCTGATCCAACCTGGTGTAATCAAACACACACACACACACACACACACACACACACACTCTCTCTCTCTCTCTCTCTCTCTGTCTGATCTAATCTGTGAGAACAACTTAGATCTTTTCTTCTTTTTTTTTGTTAAGGTTTTCTTAGATCTGATGTATATATATATATATATATATGTATGTGTGTGTGTGTGTGATGAACAATTTCAGATGCCTGTTGTTAATAAACAATTTCAGATCTTTTTTTTTTTTTTAAGTTGTTGATGATTGTTGTTGTTGTTGTTGATGATGATGATGATGAAGATGATAATGATGATGATAAAACATACTAAAAACAGATTAAGTTTTTTTATTGTTCTTGTGTTGAACAAATTACAAAAAAAAAAAAATTAAAAATAGATTGGAGATTTTTCGGGATCGAAGAAATCCAATCCCCCTTAGGAAGTGGAGGCGGGTGCGGGATGATGGCATCCCCACTGAGGATTGGGAGCGGAAACGAAAATTCTTTTACCTTCAAAAAACGAAACAAGGAAGTGTAATCTCCGACGCCACTCTAATCCGTTGCCATTCCTAATATCAACCTTTTCATTTATCACAAATGCAAAGAAGCAGGCAGCACTGACAATGCCACGGGTATCACAAATTCAACGAAGCAGACAGCACTGACAATGCCACGGGGTCATGAAATAATTTCATCATATGACATGACTCAAATCAAAACATGATCTATCACATGCTAGCAAACGAAACAGAGTTGGTTATTTTGAGGGTTGTGGAGAATGATTGGTGGTACGTTTTTTATATAATTATTTAGATTTAATTTTTAGCGTCAAATTATAAGAATTATTTTTTTGTTTTTTAATTTCCTAGTCTCGGCATGGGTGGAGGATTTGTCGAGATATGTATAAACAATTCGAACGACTCTTGTTGTTGGTGACTTTTCATGTTCATATTATTTCATTCAAGAAGTTAATTGGTATTAAAATTGATAGGGAAAGTCAAATCTATAATTTTATACTAGATAATTAAAAAACATTAGCAAATATGATGTATTATATAATTGATGAGTAACATCACCACGTAGTGTTGTCATTAACACCAAATAATTTTTCTCACTTATTAGTGTGATAGCTGTGTGTGCTAGTCAGTACCCTCTATGGGGCACCAATCCATGCACAACGCTGTACTGCCTTGGACGTGGTGGGGGTCGCTGTTGTGCGGTCTACTCGGCTTTTGTCTCATTGTTTTTTTGATAATTAATATTTATAATGTAAGATTCGTTAGAAAAAATTATTTATATTTTAATTAACCAAAAAAATCACATTATTGATGAGCACAAAAAAAAAAAATCTTGCATAACTAAGATACAACAACTCTAGTCAAGGCCATTGAATTTGAATGACTTTGTTTAGAGCGTGTTTGGCTTGCCCAGGTCTCATTTGATTTACCTTTGTGTTTTTTCATTTTTACTTCACTCTTAGCCATTGACTCCACATTTGATTAGTTTATTTTATGTTTCAACTTTAGTTGAGATATAACTTTCAAGTTATGATGTTTTTATCTTGGCCTTTTGTGTTTTCTTAATATAATTTGTTTGTACATTTTGTATTGATATTTTACATCAATAAATTTTTATTCTGCAGATCAAAAAAAAAACTAAGGCACAACAACAATAAAAAATGAAAAGGCAAAAGATGACCACTTTATTGATGAGCACCAAAGAAATCTTCTGTAACTAAGGCACAACATCAATAAAAAATGAAAAGGTAAGTGTGTGGCTGATTTTCCGACCACACTGTCAACTTAGTATTCAGCTGGAGAACACTGGTAGAATAGATGGCACCTGGCTGACCTGCAACGGAAAGAGAAGATTCCGGCGGTGGTTCGTCCACCCGGGGCACTCCGACGATCAAGTCAGTATATCTCTCAAAGATAATCAATAGTGTTAATCTCACTTTTCAGAATACAAATTGCGTACCTTAGACCCACGGGGATGCCTCTCTTTTATAGCTAACTCAATCCTTGTCCCAACAGGAGCCTAGCTCTAATGGACTTAGGATTACTATTAATCTTGGACTCCCAGTAAGATTGTGATAAACTCCCTAAGAGTCTTATCCTTTCCCAACTGTAGTCTTCCCCCTTTTTAGGACTCTTGTGCCTTATCCGCTTATCTCGGATTCCGATATCTTCAGAGGTAACCTCGGCCTCGTCGAGATCACCTCGGCATCATGACCAGGACACGTGGCACCTCGGCTGACACGTCGGCGTCGCCTTAGCCACGTGTTGGTACTCAGAAAATATATCCCCACAACTGCCCTCTAGGTTCTATTACCTCGGCATTTTGAGGTGATGAAACCTATATCATTCCTTCCTGCCAGTACATCGGCTTAGTCGAGATCATCATCATAGGCCGATATGTCTTTTTAGAGATCAAGAATTCCAAGAGCTTCTTCACGCGTATGAGCTGTTATACATAACAACTCAACCATTTTAGGCCACATGCCTTCCCATTACTGGATCGTACTTGTTACGCGTTCGTAAGTCGTCTCGCGCCTACATGCGCCGTCTGACGTATTAGCTGTTCCAGGCGCATTAATTGCCCTGTTTTTGTCGCCGTTTCAATTTTTTGACAAAACTTGTTTCCCCCTTTCGTTTTTCTCACTTTACATTGTCTTTATTCAGAACTCTTTCTCT